AATTTGCTCTGCTGACTTGTGTTTCAAGTGTGCATATATTTTTTTATTGTGGATGATTACTTACATGGGTATTTGTGTCCCTAATTTTAGGAGTGAATTGTTGTCCTTCATCAAAAAGCTTCGGGTAAGTCACAGTGGTGTTGAAAATACGTTTGCAACCAAAACATCCTTTTGGTGTAGTATTTTTCTGGAGTTTTTGTGTTAAATTCCAAAAAATCTAACAGTTACATGGGTGCTTTGTATGGCTGTAAAACGTCAGAGTTTGCTATACCTGGCATACAGCAGTGTGGAATAGCTTGTAAAAAAATTACCCTGAATTCTGATGGAGATCTGTTTACATTGGGAGTGTATTTTATTGCAGCTGTCACGAAGCAAAGCATTCCTTTTGGAGGGAGACAGAAGCTGCTACATGCATCATACTAAGCAGCAGAAGTAAGAAGGAGGGAAATTGTTTATAGCTTCTGGGTTTGTAAATGCATAGAGAGTTGTAGTGAACCTAGCTTAAGTTTAAGGTTAGGTAGTAATCACAGAAACAACGTAAAGAGATGTGTAAAACAAAAGTAAAGTTTATATCCAAGGAGTTATTCAGGAAAATCTGAAGTAGTTAAAAACTTCCTACAGAAATGTTCTTGCAGTATCCTTGTGTTGCAGATCTCTTAACAAAATATTGCCCTATTTCAATAGGAAACTATAATGATTGCTTGACTTCTTACATAGTTTTGAAGCTTAGGGAAAAAAGTGGAGTTTTGTCGGTTCATGGGAATATTTTCTTTTCCCTACAGGAACCATTGGTTCTAACTACAATATTGTCCCTGTTTGTCAAACTTCATAACGTTCGGGTTAGTATATATCATCAAAGTCTTTCTTGGTTTTCTTGAAATGTTTCTTGTTCTGATTTCTCACACCATCTTTTTTCTCTTAGGAAGACATTGTGAATGATATTGCAGCAGAACACATTTCTATCTGGCCCTCATCCATCCCCAAGTAAGATAATGATTAAGAACATGTTTTTCAAAATACTGTATGTGATGGGTTTGGTCCCACTTACTGTTAGTGTGGTTTCTCCATGTAAAGGCATCACTGCCCCCATTCTGTCTCTGGGAACATTGGTTTGAGGACATGGAGAGTTTTGGTCCTAGTTTGATGGTCCTGATGGAGATAGGGGAAACAAGAAAGAGGAGAAGAAAAGATATGGCTTTTAATCTGTGTGCTTTATTGAACTATATGTTCACTTTATCTGAACCATATAATACTTCATTGTGAAATCACTAATATTTTTGAGATGTGTTTGAATAATAGCCAAAATAGGAAGTAGCAAATGGTATGTATTGGTTTATTCTGACTCCATTGAACTTTATTTCTCTACTGAAATTTAGAGGCTCTGTGGGGTGGGATCTCAGAATCTGGTTTAGTTCTGGCATTTTGTTCAAGCCTGTGAAGGCTGTATTTGTTCAGTCAGATTTACTGTATTGTAACAACAGCAGTCTTAGTCAACATGAAATCCTTTCTGGAGTTAGTTATGCTTCACACTTAGGGCAAGGTGCTTTGGACCTCAGCTAGAGGTGAAATCAAGTTAGTGGTTAAAAAAAGAAAGCAGTAAGTTAGGAATTATTTTTCTTTCTTTTTTCTTTCAGTCTTCAATCAGTGGACTTTGAAGCCGTGGCTATTACAGTAAAAGAGCTGGTCAGCTATGCCTTGACTATCAATGCAAACAACCACTTCTGGTTAATTATTCAGGCAGATATTTATTTTGGTAAGTGAAACCAATGTCTGTGTTTAACATGTGTAGAGGAACCTTCCTGCTCTGAGATTTGTTTGACATAACCCTCCTTGTGTTTCCTTTCATGAAAAGAAGTTTAAGTGATATATGAGGTTCAAATCTTCAGATGCAGTGGTGTAGGTGGGTTTGTCTGGGAAGGTGTCTAAGCCCACAGATAGCCTGAGCTTCTGATAGGTCATGCAGACTTGCTTTTAGGGGAAGGGAAACTTTGAGTTACCCTTAACTTCCCTCTTCTAGTGCAGTTGGTCCTTGACTGGTGTAACTGTGCAAAACCATGGCACTTAAGTGTTTTATAAGTGAATGGAAACTTGTGAACAGTGGTTGCTTTTAAATGTGGAGATCAGCTTCAGTGGAGCACAAGATGAGCAGAGTGGAGAGGATCTGTATTTTATATAGGGAAGTATCAAGGGTTTGTAAATGAGGAAGCATGAGGAAGGGTTTGTAAATGAGGAATAGCTACAGCTTTATGACTCTCGGGGTAAGAGGAGGAGTCTTTATCCGGTGCTCAGTGCTGTCATGTTACATGTGGGAGAGTGATTCAGGGTTATAAACCTATTTTCCACTGTTTATTGCCTGTACAAAGTGCAGCAGCATCCCAGAAGGAGGACATTTATGTAGGGAGCCTCAGAGCTGGTGTTTGAAGGAGCAGTGGTTGGAGCAGTGGCAGTGGGCTGTATTTCTGTTCTGCTCCTGCCACAGAGCCTGGAGGCTGCTGCCTTCTCCGCAGCTCGGGAAGGGCTTCCTGGGAGTGAAGTAGTGCTGAGCCATGAGGGTGCTGTTCTCACTCACACCAACTCCTTCACTACCTGTGTGTGCTCAGCTCACTGAGGACAAGTAGAATTCAGCTATGAGATATGTATCTGAATAATTCTATAAACAGTTGATCTGAGTATTAAATAACTGCTGTATTTACTTTTGAGACCTTATTTGGCTTTTTTCCCTTGGCAGCAACTAATCAGTATTCAGCAGCCCTTCACTATTACCTGCAGGCAGGAGCTGTATGCTCAGACTTCTTCAATAAGATGGTGCCACCAGATGTGTACACAGACCAGGTGAGCTAAAGTGGGATTTGCAGAAATCTCTCTTTGGATTCAGACAGCATCCTGATTCTGTGTAGAGACAAAAGTGTCCAGCACACACACTTTCCTGTAGCATGTGCGGTGTTGTATCTTGATGCATTTGGGAACAGATGTCCTCATCAGTCCTTTTCTTTTTTGGCTTGTTGCTTGAAAGCCAGAGGAAATCTGAGCCTTCTCCTTTGCTGAATGAATCACAGAAGGCTTTTCTGTTAGTTCATAGAACCTGCAGAGCTGTGTGCTGGGAAAGCACTGTGGGACACCAGGGGTGTGGAGAGCAAATGGAAAAGCCCAGAGCACAATCAGTGTGTGGTGTGACCATCCCCAGCTCATCCCTGCAGAGCCACACGGTGCTGGGCAGGGCTGGGTCCAGAGGGGCTCAGGACAGTGCAGCAGCCCTGCCTCAGCAGCAGTGCTCACCTGAGCTCCAGCTGCTGAAAACATCTGGCTCCTACTGCGCTGGGAATCTCTATAGTGACAAATAGGGATGTGCTGAAGCCTGAGAGTTTCTAGGGGGCAGAAGAATGTAGATAGCTACTTAGGTGGTCCCATGAAAATAATAATAAAAACTGCAGTTTGTGTTCCAAAACATGCATTTCAGAACGTGTTCTGTTTTAAACCTTTCTGTAGGTGATAAAAAGAATGATCAAGTGTTGCTCTTTACTCAATTGTCACACCCAGGTAAGAGGTGAAACATGGCATTAACTTAAACATTTGCTTATAAATATTTATATAGGGGATAAATTTAAAAAATACTAAATTCAACTTCCCTTGGAAATACAATCTGCAGTAGAGTAGGCTTTGTTATATTTGCTTCTAGGACAGTTAGAGGACTAAAATTAGTAAATATAAGATATATTTGGAAATGTAAAAAGTAGAAGTAGTCTGGGGGTGTTTTGTTCTACTTTTCTCTGATAATACTTTTTTTTTTTTTTAAGAGAGGAGGTATCCATGGGGTGGTGTTGGGAACCTGGCCTTGTTTTTCATAACTCAGGTTCTGTTGCTGATCCATGGGGTCAGCCATTCTCCAAGAAGTAACAGCACTTGTACTGCACTCTAAAGCTCTTAAATGCGCTTGGAAACCTGGAAGCCAAGTCACTCCCTTCTGATCTGAGTCAATCCCCTTTTCTTGTAGCTGTTGCCACTGCTGTGTGAGAATGATCTGTGTTCAGGTGCTCAGAACTTGCTTGCCCTGGTAACAAGGTCTAGATTAGGTCTAGAAACGGAGTGGCATGAACAAGGCATTGTGTGGAAGGTTTGTTTGTGGGGAATTGAGGCTGTCAGAATCACTGAGTCTTTCCTTACAGGTAGCTATTTTGTGCCAGTTCCTCAGAGAAGTAGACTATAAAACTGCTTTTAAGGCACTGCAGGAACAGAACAGGTAAATGGTACAACAGAGTTTATAGATGCCTAAACACAGTATGTGACTCTGTCAGTTAACCTGCCTTGTCTTTCAGTCACGATGCCATGGATTCTTACTATGAATACATCTGGGATGTCACTATTTTGGAATACTTGACATGTATCCTTTTGCTGGAATACCACACATGCTGGATGTTGACAGCTGAGAAAAAGTCCATTACCTACCTCAGTGACTTTCCTTGACTCATCCTCAGATCTCCACCACAAAAGAGGCGAGACAGACAAGCGGCAGATAGCAGTGAGTTAACTCAGGGTGCTGGGACTTCTTTAGAGTCTTCCCCCCCCGAAATCACTTCTGAAAAGGTGGTTTCTGTTCCAGTTAATTCCATCACACAATTCTTTTAGAATCTGGGTGCTTATGTCAAGTTGTGGCTGAAGGGGTGGGGTGATGGGGCATACAGGAAATAAATACAGAAATAAATCACCCGTGGAACTAGTGCTGAAAGTGCCTTGAAATGAAACAGCTCCACTGGAAGGCCTCATGGTGGTTGTGTCTCCTCTTTTGTTTCAAGATAAAAGCCATTGGCCAGACAGAGCTGAATGCCAGCAATCCTGAGGAAGTCCTACAGCTTGCTGCTCAGAGAAGGAAAAAGAAGTTTCTTCAAGCAATGGCAAAACTTTACTTTTAGGCTAATGCTGAAAGATGATTACAAAATGTATAAAAGTGAAAAAAATCTTTCAAAACTTTATTATTTTTAAAAATTCAATTAAATTTTTGTACAACATTTACAGTCTAGTATCTTTCTTCTTAGAAATAGATGAAATCTTACAATAAACCCCTTATTTTTACAAACTGTACAGAAGGCTGGAAGCAACTGCAGCTAGTTCCACAATGGCTTGTTTGAGAAGACATGAATTCAAGTTTGCAAAGTTGTTGTGAGTGTAAAGTGGATGTGGGTGGCACTTGATGCTCTAGTGCAGCTTTGTGGGCTGCTCAGTGTAATGTAACACTTGTCCCTGGGTGTGCAGCACGGATTGGAGCACCATGAAAGAGGGAAGAGGAATGATACCCTTCTGTCCCAGTACTGCCCTTCATCACAGAAGTGACTCAGAGGTAGTGAGTATTCCGAGGAAAACACAGTAGTTAATGCTGTTCATAAACACTGCTGACATACAGCTCGCTCCACAGTTTAAAATACTGTTCCTATGATGCGAGAGGTTGCAGACTACCTGCGGCCCCCTTTGCTCCACACCTTCTCCAGTTCTCATGCTTTTCTTTCTTGGTGCAAGTGGCTGCCTGGGGACTGTACTTCTTCCAGTTCGGGTTACTGCAGCAGCAGGTTCTTTGCTGGTACTCTTACCTGAGGTCAGTGATGCACTAAAACTGAAGTTCATGGCGGGCCTAAAGGGCGTTAAATACATCAGGCTCCTGTGGAGCTGGGGTTTGGTACAAGGCTGGCTGCAGTGTCCTGCACACACAGAGTGGTTTCAGAGATGTGAACTGCTTACCCACGGGCCCCTGTAATACTGCACCTGAGGGGACTGACTGACTGACTGACTGACACAAGTGAGCTCTGACCTTCCCAGGAAAAGAAAAAGGGTCAAGAAGAGGTAATACATACAAGCTGTCAATATTCTCCTGCTCATCTAACCCAAATTAAAGCAAGTAATTTGCTTTAATTTATATATATAAGCTTGAGTGGACAAATCTTTCCACCCAGCCCTATTTAAGGATGTTCTTGAAAGTCATAAGTTAAGAATTCAGTTCTCACCATTAAGTCTTGTCAGAATGGACCAAAGTGGTCCAGGCTCTTGCAGTAGCAGGGTGCAATGCTCAGCTGAGCTCTTTTTGTCAAGTCTTTTTGTAGGAGGATGCTGGTCTCTGTTTCCATCTGCTGTGTCTTTTACTGCCCAAGTCTTTAATAGCAGTAAAGAGCATGAGTCACCTTTAGTGTGGTCTTGTTCTGAAGCACCAAGTCCTGTTTCTGAATCCATTTGTGATAACTGACTATTTCATTTCTTCTCTGTGCTTTTGGGAGGGGTTATTATTCCTCCTGTTGACACAGGTGATAACTGCCCTGGCGCAGTAGCCACTACTGCACTGTTCACTTCTTCCTGCATATTGGGTAAAGAAGACAGCAATTAATACCTGTGACAAGGTCTCCTTTTTTGTGGCAGGAAGAGGCAGCAGTGCTTCCTCACATCACTCACACCATTCAAGTGCTCTAGAGTCAGGGTACTGAGAAAACCGAAGTGACATCGCATAACAACGTCACAAACAGCTCCCCTGTACTGGTAATGCAGGTGTGTGCTGGGAGTGTTAGGGTAAAGCAAGTGTTGTTTATAGCAGCACTGGTGGTGGGCACTCCCTCACTGAGGTGAGCCAGGCCAGGTGTCAGCAAGGAGGTGCTTTGGCCACTCAAAAGCTGCCTTGGGACAAGGGATGTGTAATGAACTCTCAGCTGCCCAAACTGCACATCCACAAACCACTTACCAGCATGTCCAGATAATTTGTGTGGGTCTGGATATTGTGTCGATCTTCCGCTGCAACCTTCTTGAAGTTCTTCAGCTTCACAGGGACCTTTTTTGCCACATTGACAAAAGGAACCATCCATTGTACACACTCTGAAATGCTGTCCCAATCTAAGCCTGAAAGGTAGAACACCAGGATATCTTTAGAAATCATGAGGGAGTAGCACAGTGTTCCCATATGGCCATGAGTTAAAAAACACAATAAATAATACTGCAGATAAAAATTCAGAAACATCCTCCCAGAAACAGCCAACATTTCCTTATGCTTTTACTTAAAAGGGTGGTGGCTGGAGGGGTGAATGGAGGTCACAAGGGTTGTTGCTTTCCAGGGGAGGCTGAAGTGACATGGCTTGAACACAGATTGAGGGTCATGCTATAAAAACACACTGGGTGTTGCTGACAGACATGCAACTTGAAAACAGACAGAAAAAAGACAGACAGACTACTTGAAAACTACATTTCAGGAGAAGAAGTGGCTAAATATATAGCTAATGATTCCCCAAACACTTGGAAGCCATTGAGCAAACATTAGCCCAAAAGCAAAGAACAATAAATGTTTCAATTCCTTAGCAAAAGCTGCACTGCTGGGGGGGGTTTCCTCCTTCTGAGTCTTTGTAACATCTGAAATAGTGGTAGGAAGTGAAATTAGAAGGAAAAGAAGCACACAGAACAAATATTAGTGTCCATGTAGGTTTTGGTCTTTGCAGCTTGGTAAGCCAATACCATCTTAAGCAAATTTGGGTCTGTGACATCTCCCGGAATTCCCTGCCCCACAAGGCCAAGCTCTGCAGAGGCATCTTACCTGAAGCTTTCTTAACTATTTCAATTGAGGTATAGTGGCAGAGTGCTGCAGCAGCTAGTGTTCTGTACTGGAAGTCCAAAGAATTCACATCCAGAATACACAGGTCTAAAAGCTGAGGACATGAAGAGTAACAAATGTTAACAAGCTGATGCTTTGGCATGATCCTTTCTCAGAGAGGACTGTGCACACAGCAGTCCTCCTACAGCCAGAACAGGGCTGAGCTCAAGGAAGGTGTCTTAAATTTAAATACTACCTAGTGCAGTATTTACACCACTGAGCTACCTCTCTGAGGCTCTGCACAACACATGCCCATACCAACAGAACCACAGCTCTTCCAAAATAGTCAAAACACTCCCCAGGCTGCTGTCTTGGCAATTACACAGACATGCTATTAAGGGCAGTTAAAAAACAGCCTCGAGCCCGAAATGATCCACCTTCCTCTCAGAGCTGTCACTACTGTTTACAGAATGCTGGAGTGATTAAAGAAATAAAATGGATTTTTTATTTTTCCAGCACACAGAAAAGTCTTAAAGTATGTGAAAGCAGGGAGATGAGAAACACAGGGGTAGTTGTCCCCAAAACTGAATTTCTTTGGTGGAGTCAAACTTGCACGCTCCTTAACAAAGTAACAGGTGAGGGGGAAACAAGGGAACACTTAGGACGAAGTGGCTTTCAGGGTGCAACGTTCAGTAGCACTTGTCACTGCCCCAGGAACCATTTTCCAACCTTTTACTACTTACCTGGGCTATTTGAATGAATTTTTCCTGAGAATACTGAGGTAGCAGTACTTTTGGAACATCCTTCAGAGCATCCACTTGAAGATAGAGGTTCAGCCAAGAGACAATTGTCACTGGACAGAGTTCCCATTTTAAAGCCTGCAAATATTTAACAAACAGTTAAGTGCCATAAACCACTCAAGGACAGTTTAGTGCTCTGATTTCTTCCTATGCCTCTCCTGAGATTATTGCACATATCCTTAAAAGACACCAAAAAATATTTACAGTTTCAAGTATAAGTATTCTTTTTGAGTTGCATTCTTACGGCTTTTTGAAAAGGCTGTATTAGGATCAGCACAAATCTGTATCCTTTCACCTGTGCAGCTGGATTTTATATGTCTTCTTCATTCAGAAGCTGGGAAATTAATATTATTTCCTCAAGCTTTTGGGCTAGCTGTGTGAACCTGCAGCTCATATCTATTAAGGAAGAATAAATGTATAGAGTCCTGTGCTGGTAAAGATAGATCCTTTCCAACACGAGGAGCACCAAGCAGAGCGAAGCTTTTGCCTGTCTCCCCAGCAGCCCCTGTTCCTGGACAGCAGGGGATGTTGGCAAGTGCAGTCCATGATAGTGACAGCTTTCCAGCCTGCCTGTGGCTGCCTGCACTGTTGAGAGCTTTTAAATTCACACAAGCATGAGAAACCTGCCCTTTTCTACCAGTCAGGGATTGCATCCCAGCTAGGGTGTCTGAGGTCCACACACACACAACAAAGGCTCCACTATTGTGCACAAACAGGGACAGGTTCCTTTTCTTAAGCAAGTAAGTGACATTAAAACAGAAGGCTCAGCTGGAGGGTCTTTCACTCAGCATTTACAAACACAGCAAATTATTACCTTTAACATAATAAGTTCCATTCTTACAATATCTTCCTCACTGCAAGCACCATCAGTGACGTAAGCAAATTCCTGTATTTTAGGAGCGTAGATTTCCTTTAAAGGGAGGAAAAATGAAGATGAGTGTATCTTACAGTTCTGAGAAAGGTTGAGAAGATACTGGGAAATACTTTTCTGTCCACATTGACATTTTAACTTTTCTTATGCTATAACAGTGTTTTTTTCATTATATGAACTGACATGAAACGTACAGGATAAGGACACATAACCTACTTGGGTTTTAGTATCTGTTGTACAATGCAATGGATTATTGCAACCCTTTGAGCTTCTGGGGAAATAAATGCTGACCAAGCAAATCAGAACACCCTTTCATTTTTAGATCTTTCTACTCAGCCATTTCAATGCTGTAGAAACATACATCATCCCAATTCTCCTACAGATGGCTGACTGGTACAGATTACCTGCATTGTCAGTGCTGATGTAATTGCATAAATTAAAAAAATTTAAAAAAAACAAAGAGAAAAGCTAAAAAAAAAGAAGAGAGAAAATCCCACAACCAGCTACTGCAACTGTCAAAATCCATGGTGCAGAGATGGTCAAGGAAATTTGCTAAGCCAGTCATGCCTGCTGGGGCCAAGCATAGTTTGGTAAGTAGAAGAGAGCTTGCCAGCAAAAGTGCTTCCCTACCAGCTGGCTCTGTGACCACCATGGCCCCACGAGATTCCTTAGGACAGGAATGACTGCTCATATGTGCAACCTTGCTTTGGGAACCACAGTGAGATCTGGGGGTTCCAAGATAACAAACCCAAGTTCTCCTGTCAGTCTAGCCCACAATGCATCACCCAAAAGCTCTTGGCCCATGGATGCAGCACACAATGTGAGGTATCACCATCACTGCACTCAGGACTCACACTCCACTAAATGGAGGATGTTGTAAGGGCATCAGCTTGATGTACAGGCAGTTTGAGACCTAGGCTTGGTTTTGTTCAAGTCCCACACCCATTCCTGAGATCTGCCAACTGCAGTATGTCTGGAAAAAGACTAGACAAAACAAAACTACTTCTAGCACATTTGCATGCCTTTTAAGCTTATGTGGTCTCTTCCCCACTGCTGGAGAAAGGGAGGACAAAAACTACTCTCTGAGAGACTGACAAATGCACAACTGAAGGAAGAGAAAAATCTCCCCTTCTGACCTTCAGCGTTGTACATACAGCATCAAGTTCAAAAGATTCAGACATGAAATAATTGTTATAACTGTCTTTTTAGTTACTCCAAATTCAAGATCCTCCTCCCTGTAACAGAGCTTCTTACCTCAAGTTTGGAGGCAATAAATAATGAGGTAATTCCTATGAGCTGAAGCATGCTCTTGTTAATGTTCTTTTGTGTCAACATGAATCTATCAAAGAAGTCTTGAGCTAGGTAGAAGGTTTCCCGGTGGAGTGCATACACCTCACACACCTACAACAGGGGAAAAAACCCAAAAGTTCTGTTATAAAACTCTGTGTACACACACAGGAGTATTCAAGCTTTTACAGCAAAATGCAGGTTCATCTTTTGTACACACAAAGCTTCACATACCAAGGTATGGTGTGATGAAGTGGTTAGCATGGGATTGGAAAAGGTATTTCCCATGCTCCCACCTAAATGTGAATTGCCTATGAGGTACTAAAAGACTTTCAAGAAATATTTTTTCCAAATTAAATAGCAACCATTTTTCCACTGGAAGAAGAAAGCCCGGGGAGGAAAAAACCCCAACAAAACAGCAACACCTACACACACACACATTAATGATCTTGATTAAGAATACTCTCAAGCCTCAAGCTGAAGTCAAATCCCTGCTGAATTCCCAGTAGGTCTGTCCCAGGGCAGAGCCACTAAAAAAATCACAATCTTGGGCTCTACAGCAAAGGAGCCTGGAAGTTGCTGCTGGAGTGGGCTGTGCTGGCAGGCCAGGAGCACTGCCTGCAGCCCCTCAGGCACACCAGCAGCCTCACTAAGCAGGAACAAAACTGCAGGAGCCGCCATCTGCTCCATCCCTTTGCTGGTTTCCCTGGCAGGGAGAACTTTTAATACTCGCATTGTATCAAAGTGTTTCAAATGCCAGTTCAACAAAAAAAGAAAGGAGAGTGCCCAGACCTGGAGATCTTAGGGAGAGCCCTACTTTTCATCTAATCGCTAATTGAACTGGGAGGGGCTACCACATATCCAGCTCTCCTGCAACTCCATCCCCCTTTCACAACTAGAAAGCAGTTAGATATCCATTAATTACTTACAATGTACTTGCAGTAAAGAACAAGAGCAGAAAAGAACATCCAAGAAATAGATCCCAGCCACTTCATTATTTTACTTGGATACAACATCAGAATATAATCTCGCTACTACAAGCTATTTCTCAAGATAAGGTTGGAAGCTCATTTGCAAATTAAAGCCCTTCCTGACACCAAAAATGCAACTGATTGGCAGAAATAGCAAAGCCCCACTTTTAAACTTGATAAACGATGCATTACTCTGATACTATTAATGACTGCTCTAAAGAAGATTCAGAGCTAAAACTGCATAGACCAGCCTGCCCATAAATAAATGGTAGAATTTCTATAGAAGTGTAATTTCCCAACATAATAACACTTGGCCATGTTAAGCAGCATCTGTTATAATGTTACAGAAGACTGTTAGGAACTACTGAAGAGGTCTCAAAGTTGCTGGGATTTAAATCTGCTGTGGCATATAGAACCACTGAGCTGGACAAAAGCAATGCCCCCAATGATTGTTTGGAAGTTGGATGATTTCCTAGTTCAAGATTTTAAAAAAAGCAACAAATTAATTTAATGGTGACATGTAAATTCCACATTAGAGGAACTAGTGAAGCATACAACTGGAATAGTTTTATTCAGAGTGTATTAAAAAAAGCTTTCATTTTTCTTGAAATTCCTTGCTAATATATTTGTAACCTTTTCACATAAGAAGCTGTCTGTATCAAGAACCTTTAACTGTCAGCCATTGACATATTCTGCTCTCCTTATGATAAAATTGAAAATTTGCTATGAAATCAGAAAATAACATCATGGGCTGACACTCAAGAGCTCTTGATATGGTCAGGTCATAAATCCTCAACAGATGCAGTTTTCTCACAGCTTAGATACAGGCTACCCCATAAGCTAGAGATCCATAATTTCAAGACAAGTGTCTCAAAACCAGATTTCTCTCTCTTGCAGGATGCAGGGTGCCATGAGCAAAAGTTAAAATACTGCTGCTTACTGTCCTGGGGGGAGAGGAAGTTCACTACCTCCTGCCTGGGAAGGCCCAGGTGTAGCTCACCAAGGGCATCAAAAGCAGTCATTTGTTCTGCTGCAAAACAGTTTGGCCATTTTTTACAACTGCACATGTTACTATGAGATTTTTATGTAAAAACTGTGCTTTTACCTGCCTACTTCACGGGCATAACACATGATAAAGTAACTAAAGATACACACCTCTAGGAGCCAGTCTAGCAGTATGGATCTCATGTGAGGTTGCAAACTAGAATGTAGTGATGTGAAGTGTTTGCAGTGAGCATATCTGTTTTCCTTCGTCAGGATGTTGAGCCAGACATCTTTGGAATTGCCCCAGCTATGGAATAAAGTTACACAAAGCATTAGTAAGTATATGCACAATTAAAAAAAAAAAAAAAACCAAACAAACACATTATTTATTATTTACAGACATTCAAAAAGAAAAATTCCATACTATAAGATCCTTATGGCAACTGGAAAACTGCAGGAACATTTGGAACATTTTACATCACCACAACAGCAGCTTGGCAAGATCACCAACAAGCCCAGTTCTACAGAACAGGCACTAAAACTGAACATGTGCCTCTCAAAGCTGCATGTGCAACTAGAGTTCCCTATTTTGCCTACTTTGGTGGCTGTTCAGAGAGCAAGATAAAACTAAACCCTCCCCCTAAAAAAGAAAAATATACTCCTCCTCAGGAAATATAAAGCATACATAAGCTTAGCTTGAGAAAAACTAGAGATAGTGTTTAAAACTCACTCATTCATCCCTTCATTTCCTAGCTTACTTCACAGCTCAGAAGCAAGCCATTTAGAGAAAAAAATATGTTCTTCTTTATTGTTAACTTATAAATTATTAGTGCTCCAGTCTGTTTGGGAAGATGATGCCTTATATATATCAATATGGTTTTATTTGTAATTGTTACTATCAATCCATATGGGCTTTTTCTTAGATGCTCTTCTCATCCTGCAGGTACTAAGAGGAAAAGCATGTTAAACAATGAAATCATGATTTCCTACTGAAATTTTTGGAGTAATTTACCTTTCCTCAGAAGGGGAGAGGCAGAAGGGGAGACAGAGCTGATCACTGGTATTGCCTACAAATTTTAACCCAGGTCAGTTTCATTGTGTTGCCCTCAAAAGTTAGAAGCTGGGGAGATATTTGCTTCTTTAATACATAACTCTTCCCATTTAAGCAGGCAGGCATTGAGAAATGAATTATGATCTTCTTACAGCAGTTAGGGAAGGATGGAGAAGGCAGGAGAAGTAAATTATCCTCTAATTCAGCTAATCAGAAAGGATGGAGTTCAGCTTCACCAGATGCCTGCCAACAACAGGATTAAGCACCTTGCATGGAACTCTGTATCTGAACAGGTCTTTGCGGTAAAGCATCACCTGGCAGCATCTTGAAGTTCTGATCCAGTTTGGGCCAGCACAAAAAAACACCAAGGTATATCTATAGAAAGGTTCTCAAAGTAATGCTACCTGTTCTGCTTCTCTTCTCATTGACCCTGGCAGAAGTTTTCCTCAACACATTGCAGTAAATTTACTACCTCTCTCATCAAAGCCCAGGCTGATACAAACAGCAGCTGGGTATTTCTCTAGCACAGCCTGATCAAAGCTATCTCTCTGCAGAAGGGCAACTGTCTGAACTGGGACTGCACCGAGCACATTGCACTGCACCAGCAGGCTACCTGCACAGTGATATTGCCACAAGTTTATTTGAACACTTTAAGTTCTTTAAGCAAATTTGGTTAAATATTTTTTAGCCACAGTTCCAATAGCACTGAAAGAAGTTTAGTTTAACCCTCAACCTTTAGAGTGCCTTAACCCTTAGAGTGTCCACTGTAAAGTTATAAAAGGACAGCTCTGAAATGTGAAAACTGTCTGGTGTGTTTATAAGATCAGGAAAAAAATATTCAAACAACCAAACTCAAGAATTTCTCTCTTTTGCTTGTACATAAAATCTTTTGTGAGATGAGGAGACAAGTAGAGGTATGTATTACATAAGCACATATAACAAGATTTTATTAGAGTAGTTCACACATTAACAATTACTGCCTCTGTTAAACTTACTTGAGTTCTGGCAAAGGAGATGGATTTATGAAGAGGTTCCTGAATCTGTATTTTTTGAATCTTGAGAAGTCAGTGGTTACTGATTCTTTGTGAGGTGTTTCAATAATTATGCAAGGTGAGATACCTCCTGTTATTGTGGGGGGCCAACAACTCTGCAAAATAAACAAGGTGTCTTTTAAATGCTGTGTTTACTATGAGAGCAAGAAAGGCAATAAGTAGATTACAGTAACAGCAACAATATATGTAATGTACATTGGTCTTTCTAGATCTCAGCATTGATTCAAGTACTGAAACCAAGAAAGAAGAAAATTAAATGCCAACAAAACCTTCCATCAGCCAAGATGGAACATATATAAATAAACTGGATGCATTTGGGAACTCAGCTTTGAGGAAGATGACCATCTTTAGTTTATGAACCCACAAGTAGCCTATCCATTGCTTGAAAAGCTCAGTTACAGTAAAAAAGGCAAAGATATTAATTGCTACTAAAACACAGGACATTAGGTTACTAGTCCAATCTACTTATCTATTCAGAGGAAAAGAAAGGAGGGGGTGGAGGTTTTACTGTCTCTCAGTGGAAATTCAGCAACTTGTTATCTTCCAGTTTAGTGCTCCAGAGAGGAGCCACCCATCTCAGCTCCAGAGCTAGATACCCACTGAGCAAGCAGCAGCTGTGAACTCTCTCTCAGCTTGCCAATGCCAAATATGGGATGCAGTGACTCCAAATGAGAAGACTGCAAAGGTATTCCTGCTGAAAGTCTTAGAGAAGGAATTCTAGATTACTTTGGTTAACTGTAACTTGTTTCACTAATGCTTATTTGGTTGTAAGTAACCAAAGAGTAAGGGGGTATCAAATCCCTGGAGCACATGCAATGCTGTAATGGCTGACAGCCTTCAAAATGGTGTCACACAACCTAAATTATTCCCTGCGGAGTTGAGAGGGAATCCCAGTCACAAAAAATGGCAACACTTGTCCCTGAACACAGAAGCTTTTCCTATACAGCTGACTTGCAAGGTAAGCTACACAGGATTCCTCAGTATATCCAAACCTATTTATAGCCAGACTGAAGTACCCCAAGAGTGAAGTTACATACCCCAGCAGAACTGACCTTAACGAACACAACCAACAGAAAAGGGAGGTCCCACTGCTCCTTCTCTCGTGTGAGCCTCACTGCCCAAGTTCCACTCCAATGCTTGCCAGACCCTCTGCTGGGTTGACTTAATTCACTAACCTGGCAGAACTTTAACTTATTTTCTAATGCCAAATTAGCAAGATGAACCTGCCTACTGCTTTGTTCAAGGAATGCAGCAAGGCTGGAGATGGATTGCACAGCCCTTCAAGGAAGAAGAGACAGGGAGACAGGGACACAGGATTTCCCCCTTTCACCAAAGTTGAAACACTTAAGTTTCACCCCAGGTACAGCTGAAATACTTATGCAGCATTTCTCCCTACTCAAGATTTACAAAGACAACTTCACAATCAGAAGAGTTTTGCTTCACCATAGCTGTTAGTCTCATTCACTTTACAAACAGAGTAATTACAAACAATATTATTCGCAAGAGAAAGTTATAATATTTTACTAGTCTGCTTTACAACAGAAAACCATAAGGCCTGTCAGTTTTAAGAGCTTACTGTGTTAGTGAAAACACATTCCTAAATTGATTTAAATAATCAAAAGAACTGTTATATGAAACTAAAGATGGCCTGCATGGTTATGAATCTCAACTAAATGGCCATGAAACCACACCTGAAGTTAAAACAAGGGCAGTGATCTTGTTTAGACTTGCCTCTAGGCCTAACCTGCTCTGCATATGGAATTGTTCTGAAATATCAGGGGTCATTTTCTTTTTTTCACTTAATCTTACTCTGCAGTGGCTTTTACATTGAAGGATCTTTTATCTGCAATCAAGCCGTGTAAAACAGATAAAAAGGTGCTAAGCTCCCATAGTTTCTAATATCTAAAAATACAAACTTCCCCTATTCAATACTTTCTGGTGTGGAATGCGTGATTTCACACCTACCAACACAAACCAGACTCCCTTACCTAATTTGAAATGGTATTCACAATTGAATTACCTTAATTTCATATTGATGTTTTTTTGCAATTTTTCCATCTTCTCTTTTCTTAATCTCCTGCTGAAAAGAGAGACACATCAATACACTGACAGTGACCAGCACACCCTCCTACAGCTCAGAAAATCTCTTGCTACCCCTGCCTTGCACTTTGTAACATGGCAAAGTAAAGACTGTCCCATCCAAATGCACTGGAGAGCTTTCAGTATCATCCAACTTTCCAAGATGCTCAAATTGCTCACCTCTGCTGTTCTCCTTTTTCTGGTCTGGAGATAATCTAGTGCTTGCAGTTCTTGTGGAGTCTCTTCTGGACAGGACAGTGGCTGCTGCTGTTTGGCCTGCAAACGGCTACTGCAAAGAGTAAAAAGACATGAGATGTTAGGAGAGCAGCAGTTGTTAGATTAGTACAGATACTCTTAGTACAATGCTAACAGCTTACCTGCGCCTTGACATCTTCTCTGGGCTATGAGATCTCTACCTGGATCAAAGTAATAAGACAAGGTCAGTTAGTGCGTCCTCACAAAATTAGAACCAAGTTCCCTACTTTGTGTCATGAACTCATCACAAAGAGCAGCATGGTTCACACAGCTCAAACAGAAGGGCACAAGTATTCCCCTGGCCTGAGGAATGCCCAAGCAGAGCATGACTGTGGTATGTAAGCACACGCAGCTCCATGTCCTGCTGCAGGGTGCCCAGGTATGCCAGCAGTTTAGCTCAGGCTGCCTGGGGGTGGGGGCAGGGAAGTTATAAAGGGACATTTCCCACACAAGAGGATGTGGAGGGGTCCCTGGGGCTGTGACCCCTCTAGTCCCCCGCACCCTCCACTCCAGGCACCCACACAGACACTGTTTGGACGCTGCCGCTCCCTCAGGGGCGATGCCCCCCACACCTGCCGGGATG